CCCACTCCTTCTTACACTTTTCTTTTACAGGAGTCAAAGACTCCCCCCCTCCCTTTTTTTTTTTCAGGCGTAAGATGATATTATTTGAACGTCCTCTTTAGATGTAGGGGTTTTCTGGATGAATCGATCCATGTCTAGATCTAGCCTCCTAGCCTAAGATTTAAAGTCTTTCACAAATTTTTATACTAGATCTAGAACTATCTACCTGGTGCTACGGAACCAAGCAAGCTAAATAATCAGACTACCGTGTTTACGATTGATTTACTCTAGATCTAAATTAGAAGATGATTCAGTCCAAACAAGACTATTGGGTCGATTTGCTCGCCAGATTGATGGTGCAAAAAGGCTATCGTGGCACAAGTCGATCGCGCCCGACTCGTTGTGTCAAAACAAAATACGTTGTTTTCAGGCGACGAGTCGTGCGATCATTCCGACCCGACCTGGGTCAGAGGGCGGCGGCGGGCACCCCGTAGTGCAAAGGAGCGATTTGTCCCCCTTGGCGTCATTATTTTTATTCGTGGAAGAAAATTTCGTTCTTTTTAATGAAATTTTATTATTATTTTCCCAAATATTGCGGGAAATAGGCTAAAAATAGCGAATTCACGAAAATGGTAAAAGTTGCGCTGAGGGCAAAAGTTGCGAGAGGACAGAAAAAGGTACAAAATGAGAAACGTTTTTGTGTTTCTTCCAAGGAGTCTCAAGCGTTGTAAGCCACCAAACTTTGGGGCCATTTCCTCGCTAAATTTTACCTTTGAAACCAGGCGATCATCTCCTCCTTCAATAGCAAATATCTCAACTTCTTTTCAAGATAGACGGGTCATTTTTTCATCATAAGCAAGGCAATGGAAAAACTTTAAGCAGATATCATAACTCCAAGCCCAAAAATGGACGAGCACCTGACCCCACCACGTTGTAACATATATCAACTCATTCGCTACGTATTATTTTCGGCATGTGGACGATTTTTTTTTGGGAGGGCGAAATGAGATGATGACTAGTGTGCAGTTCACAGGTCTTTGTTTTGTTCCCTGACAGTATGTGCACATTGGCAAACTAATAAATTAATGAGCTAGAATTTTTTAAGAGCGTACAGATGAAAACGAACAAGTTATAGTAAAACAATACCTTTTATCAGTCAGAACAATTCGACCCATTCCCAGGTCTGTCTTGATGAGGCTGGACACTCGTAAGATGCACTCGTTCAACTGGAACAAAAGGATTTGATTGTGACAATTCATTGAAAATGTCATTTTGTTTTGTGGCGTTCTTTTTTACCTTTGACACGGAGACCAAGGAAAGGAGATAGCAGTGAATTGGGAACACACTAAGGTAGCCAGTTCATACTGTGACAACACAAAGCCTTCACTACAATACCCAGGGGAGGAGGAAGAGAGAGAGAGAAGGGGAAGGAAGTCTGGTTAGGGAGGAAAGAGGTAAAGAAGAGGGGGTGAAGGAGTGGGTGATTTGTTTTTGTTTTAGTGAGAGTTTTACGGCATAATTAGGTCATATAAGTGCCAAAGACTAGAGGTGTTACAAGAGAGTAACAAAAAAAAAAAAATAAGGACAGTTAAAGACGATAGATGCTTGTTAAGAAAGCAGGAGCATACCACATAAGAGCACCCACCAACCACCCACTGGGAGGGAAGGGAGGAAGGAGACAAAGTGAGGCTGAGTGAGTTTGAGTGTATGTGTGCGTGTGTATATGTTAAGTGAGAGCGTAGTCTAAAACAGCCTTATGCACTGCTCACAGCCGAAAGCTCCGTATCCTGGACTCTAGCGCGAAGACATGTATTATATGAGTGTGTGTGTGTGTGAGTGTATTTGTGTGTGTGTGTGTGTGTGTGTGTGTGTGTCTGTGTGTGTGTGTGTGTGTGTGTGTGTGTGTGTGTGTGTGTGTGTGTGTGTGTGTGTGTGTGAGTGTTGATAGTTCTGAGTTAATATATTGCCCTGAATTTACATTCTGCATGAAAAAGGCAAGAGGAGGCAAATACAGGCAGACTTATTCTAACGTTCAATAATAATAATAATAATAATAATAATAATAATAATGAAGATCATTTCTATAGCGCCCACTCCCGTGTAAACACAGCTCTAGGCGCTTTACATAAATGCATGTACGAACAATATTCACGCACGTGACACACACACGCACATACACACTCATACACACACAAACACACCCATATACACACACACACACACTCACGCACACATAACACCAAACAACCACCTGTTCAAGACAATCACCTGTACAAATGACTGCTTCCCATCCCTCCCCCCCCTCTTGTGGGTTTTTAAGATAATTATTATCATAATAGCTTTGTCTAAAACATTGACCTCTCTAAGACAATCACAATTCTCCTCTACAACGGGTGGCCATCTTAGACAATTTTGACGATAAATACAGGGTTCCTGTCATGAACTCCTTACCAAATTCAGGCAGAATTCAAGGAGGTTTCAAGGAGAAATTTTTAAAATTCAAGAAGATTTGGTCAAGAAGTTTATGCTGTTTTCGACAGCGTGCCAAGAGTAATCCGACAAAAATTTGTTCATATCCGATCCAGTGAAATTCTAGGAGTTTTCAAAGAGGTTCCTCAAATTCAAGAAGTTCTCAAGGAGATTTTTCCTTGAATGCAAAGTCAAGGGGTTTTCAAGGACTCCTTGAATTGAAGGAGGCTGCACGAACCCTGTAAATAACATAACGTATGCTCGTACCTGCAGACATCCATCCGGGAGGTTGAGAGCTTCGCACTGGGACTGGTTCTCCTCGTAGCTCAGACGGAGAACTTCAAACGTATATTTCTCCACATCTGTGCCGCCATCAGGGAATAAACAACGCAGAAAAATACATATTTTGACAATAAGAACAAACTGCATTCAACAACACTTTCAAACTGCCAGCTTTTCAAAAGCAAAATAAAACAAGACTGTTCCCACATAGATGGTCAAGATAGTAGGCATTGGCCATGCAGCCAGTGCAGATGGAATAAAAACAGTAAATTGTCGGTAAAGTAGTAAGTATGTAGTAGTTTTTCTGGAGGCAAACATTTAAAAAATGTTCATGAGTTTGTAAACCAAGGACCCAAGATCTGGAATGCTTTACCAAGTACCTTAAGAGAGATCAAACCTTCTGATTAATTCAAATGTCAGCTGAAGTATTTTCTCTTTTTAAATAAATAAGATGAATATTTGGAGTGATTTTCTTTTAGTCCGAACACAACATTTTATGTTACTGTTGTACGTTGTACTGTATTGTAAAGTGCTCAAAGCCTGTATACTTTAATAAAGGTTGAGCGCTATATAAATGTAATTTATTGTTATTATTAAACAATCCCCAAAAGTAAATGCCCACATTTGCAACCTTTTATCAATATCTTACAAGGAATTGACAGAAGTGAAAGAAGGCACAGGGGGTAGAAGTGAAAGTATTTTCACACAAAGGTTGTCAATTTTGTTAAAACTATCAATATTCTACACACCCATCAACCTCCTTCCCCCTCCCCCCTCCTCTCACACACACACACAAATCAGCGTGAGACGACCATAAGATGAGACCACCCACATTCTATGACTACGACCCTTTTCCCAACAATAATTTATACTATTCACATTTTAGAATTTAGCATGCAGTTACTTAATTTAAATAGATTCTAGCCAGAACCCCAGTTTTACGTCTGGGACTAGTTACAAAATGAGCAAAAAGAAATCAGACCTTAAAATAACCACACAATAAACAACTTTTTAAAAAGTCCCAGAATCCCAGAATCTATTTTTTTTTTAATTTAATTTTTAAAGTAGAGATTAAGAACAATTGGAAACCACAATTGGACGTACGTGTCATCCGCTGTGGCTGTGCGAGAGCCAAAAATAGCCTCTGTATGGTGTCGTAGTCGGTGGCCATCTCCAGCAAAGACACCGTCTCCACAAACTCCTCCAGACCTGAACAACAAAACGTAACTGTAAATTGTCTGTAAATGTTTTCCTGCACTTATCAACCTAATTAAGACCATTTGGGAGGCAGACTGGTTTGACCTTGCCAGTCATTTTAGTTTCAGTAAGAGTTTTACGGCACTTGCAACACAATAAGGTCGTATAACAGGGATGCCAAATGATTTTTGAAAAAACAACTGAAAATGAGCGGAGCATCACAATTCACCTAAACCGAACCTTGTAAAGCTTTTCAATGAGCAAACAAACACATTTCTCTCTTACCTCTCCTATTTCCTTTGCAATTCCAACGGATGAAAAAACCCCTGGAAAAACCGGATATTTGGCATCCCTGATATAAGTGCCGAAGAATAGAAGTGTTACGAGGGAGTAACAAACACAAACAAGAGAGAGGAGAGATAAAGGCGACAGATGTTTGATAGGAAAGAAGGAGCAAACCACACCAGAGCACCCGCCAACCACCCAGTCAGGACCAACCTGCAGATGCTTAATTAACTCTTTGAATCTGGCTTGTCACTTAGTGTTTCGAATTTCACCAGCTTGCCACGTAAGTGGCTGTCTGATGGTACCAATTTCGTCAACCCCAAGATCTACACCTGATCTTGTGCTACATTTACTACCAGTTTTCACATATACTGTGATCCTTTGTCCAATTAGAAAGAGTAGTCTGAGTGCTCACACAAACAAATCTATCGATATTCGACTGAATGATACCCGTTTTAAAGTAACACCCTTTGCCACTGGGTGTGTAAAATTGTGGAATCCTTTCCGTACTGAAAGAGTTAATAAATGAGTCAACTTGTGTAAACTTCCTTGAGTATATCGAAAAAGGACGGGAGAAGTTAGCTAACATACAGCGTAAGAGAAGCTCACTTATCACTCACTTATCAATATATAAATCGCATACCCCCAGATTATATAAACATGCGGGAATGAAAGAATGAAAAGACACAACACAAAACAAACTCCAGTGGAGAAAGGTAAAAGTTTGTAAACATAACAAAACAAACTCCAGTGGAGAAAGGTAAAAGTTTGTAAACATAACAAAACAAACTCCAGTGGAGAAAGGTAAAAGTTTGTAAACATAACAAAACAAAAAAAAACAACTCATGTGGCGAAACAGCGAACTTTTGTAAACATAACGAACAAATAAACTGTTCTGGTGAAATGGTATACTTTGTAAGTCATTCAACTTTGGATTTATGCAACATAAACATTAGTGCCAAACCTTAGAAACCATTTCTGAAGCAAGATTGCTTTGAGAGTCCACAGGGCTCTCTAAAAAATCCAATTCAAGAATGACATCAGCTTGGAACAGCATTCTCTAGAATAGTTGACATGGAGTCAAAACGAGGTGTGTAATACTCAAAACTAATTGTTGAAAATGGGAACAAATTGAAACAACTTCATCCACTTCTCCTTCCCTCAAGCCAAGCCATAACATTTCCCTTAATTCACAAGCTCTCTCTAAAGAGGACCCATAACGAGAACAGAAAATATTACGCAGAGCTGGTGACTGGAGGGCACCCTGGTAGGTCCAACATTTTTACTTTCCCTCTGTTTTGTCTGTTTGTCTTTTTTCCCTTTTCTGAGCTCTCACCATCATTATTCGGTGCTTTGCCGAATGAGCTCTAAATGACCAATATTGTGTCGACGTGCTTCTCTTTACCCAAACAGCCGTAACGTTGATGTGTTCGACTCTCACCATACAGGTGCATGAACACCGATTTTCAATAAAGCAGAAAAAAAGTACTTTCTTATCATTTACCTGAACTGTTCAATAAATCAAGTACAGTGTTCTTGTTACAGCATCACCAATTGTAATTACTGTTGTGAATAACAATTCTCAGAAATTTTCAGAAGAGAGAAAAAAAAACCCAACTTCATATCATTCTCATCATCATCCAGAATTGTTCAATATATCATGTAGCTGTTCAGTATCACCAACTTAATCTACCGAAGGCTGACAAAATGCCTTTTTTTCATTTTGTCACCAACCATTTATTATTTGCCACATTGAAAGCCTGATCAGTTACCCTACTTGTGTGAAAAAATCAAATTGAAACTGTGACTAGTTTTTGAATAAATTAAAATTTAAATTTTAAAATGACTCTACTTTTAAATGATTACACTGACCAAAAAAAAACTCTTTTTCTCAAAACTGCTTTGAAGAAAAAAAGGCGTTTTGTCAGCTTACAGCAGAACTGTAACTGCAGTTGAGAAAAACAAAATTTCAGACCAAAAAAAAATTGCTCAGCCTAATGTGACAGATGCTCAAAGTCGGACACAGATAAAGTAAACTTACTGAGATCTGAATCGGGAATTGAAACTTTATCGGTGAAGCCGCGTCGAGTGTTGACAACTTCTTGCTCCAAAGAGAGCTCACTCAGGTGGTTAACTCCCTTGCGACGAAGCATGTCCTCTCGCTCTGACTCGGGAACCAGGAGCAAAAGCTTCCTCACCAGACTGAGAGGGAAAACAGACGGACATCATTTTTTGTTTTTTTTTATAGTAGAGGGTTCTACGGCGCTCGCAACTGCATAAAGTCATATGAGCGCCAAGGGGTGGGTGTCAACAGAGAAGTCTTTACAGGGAATCAGACTTAGACTGCTCACCTCTCTAGCTTCAACGGCACAAGGTCTGCTTCGACTATAAGGCACCCCCAAAATAGCAGGTCACAAGAGAGTGACAAACATACAAAAGAAGTAGAGGAAAATGACAATAGTAAGGATCAGGAAATAAAAAGGAGCAGTTCCCTGTTGTAGATCAGGCACAGTTATGAGCGTGAAAATGAGTCAGCCCATTTACAATTCTACTATGCTTGAATGAGAAATGTCCCCCTTTTGGGAATGGCCTAAAGACACTACAGTCAGTGGCACTGCCCCGGGGGAATACGGAAACTGGGTATCAACTCGACAAAATAAGTCACTTGCCAACTCCTCGTTTACTCTGCAGACATAGTCAAACCAATCCTAGATGACCGCCCATTGTCCAGGAGAAAAGCTGTCATCTTAGACAGTTCAGTTTTAGTATGAGTTTTACGGCACTTGCAACACAATAAGGTCATATAAGTGCCGAAGAAGAGAGGTCTTACAAGAGAGTAACAAACATAAAAAAGAAGGAGGGGAGATAAAGACGATAGATGTTTGATAGGAAAGAAGAAGCAAACCACACCAGAGCACCTGCTAACCAACCACATACAGAAAAAACAAAAGAGAGGAAGCGCTACGGGGTCATTTGTACAGTATGTACAGGTGATTGTCTTGTACAGGTGACTGTCTTGTAAAGGTGACTGTCTTGTACAGGAGACTGTTTTGAACAAGTGGTCATTAGAGTCATTACAGAAATACACAATCCCTCAATTCTTAAAGCAGCATGTTAGTCCCAAGTTCCTGTACAAATTCCTATTAGTTCTTATATCTTTTCTATCAATGTCTAGCTCTTCCCATATTTTAAATAGCTCATCACGTGTGACAACAACGAAAACAAAGACAACAACAATAAAAATAACAACAATAATGACAGCAACAACACCAACAACAATAAAAAGAACAACAATGACAACAACAGCAACAAAAACAACGGCAACAATAACAACAATAAAAACAACAACAATGACAGCAACAACACCAACAACAATAAAAAGAACAACATGTGCAGTGAGGAGCCCCAAGATTTGAAGGACTTGCTGCAGAGTTGCCGCGATGGCGAAGAGCACGCTCTTCAGGGCTCCAAACAATTCGGAAGGATAGGCTCCCAAACACACATATACAACGACAGTAACAGCAGCAACAACATCAGCGACAACCACAACTTCAACAACAACAAAAACAACAACAGCTATAACTGCAATAGCAATAACAATAATTTAACAACAAACAACAACAACATTAACAACAATGACGACAACAACATCAGCAACAACAACAACTTCAACAAACAACGGGTATAATAACATCAGCAACAACAATAATTTAACAACAGTAACAACAACATTAACAATAATGCCAGCAACAACAACAGCAACATTAACAATAACAACAGCAACAACATTAACAATGACAACAACATTAACAACAACAGCAGCAACAACGACAACATTAACAACAACAACAACATTAACAACAATGCCAGCAACAACAACAGCAATAATGACAGCACTCACTCTGTGGGCACGAGCCGGGCATTGTGGGCGTACAAACTGAGCAGGTCGTTGAGTGCAGCGCCGACGTTGCCCTCGGCCGCGTGGAACATGCCCCGCAGGTAGATGTAGGAGGAGCGGTACTGGAGGTTGCGACACTCCTGGGCGACAGAAATAGGAAAGGATAGCTCTGGGAAACTAAAATGAAATAGATAGCTCTACGAAACTGAAATGATAGCTCTGGGATACCAAAATGAAAAGGATAGCTCTGGGAATCAAAATGAAAATGATAGCTCTGGGATACCAAAATGAAAAGGATAGCTCTGGGATACCGAAATGAAAAGGATAGCTCTGGGAAACTAAAAGGAAAAGGATAGCTCTGGGAATCAAAAATGAAAAGGGTTGCTCTCTAAAACCAAAATGAAAAGGATAGCTCCAGGGAAACCAAAATGAAAAGGATAACTCTATGAAACTAAAAGGTGCTCGTCAAAATAATGAAATCGAAGAAAAAGGCGTTTTCCCACCACTTTGGCAATATTTCTTTCGAATTTTCGTTTTTCAGCTCAACACTTTTTAGGTCCGTATAAAAACACATTTCCTTGTGACTTTCAATGAAAAATGTTGATTAAAGGCACAACATATGTGAATTTTCAGTATTCAAGGACTCTCAAGGCATTGAAGTTACTAAACTTTGGCGACCACTTCCTCGTTAATTTTAACACAAAAACCAGGTAACTCCACCTCTTTCAATTGCAAATATCTCGACTTCTATTCAAGATAGACAGGTATTTTTTAAAATTGAAAGCAAGTAAAATGAATAAGCTTTCAGATAATACCAATAACCCCACATGCCCAAAAATTGACGATAGTCTGATTCCACAGAGTCATGACACAAATGGAGCCACAAGCGGTACAGGTCACATGACATGAACTATTTTTAATTTCTATCTATATATTGCAGCTTGTTCACATTCTTCTGACAGTGTTAACAAAATTCTAGCTCATTTCTCAGATCAATTCTTAACAAAATTCTAGCTCATTTCTCAGATCTATTTTTAACAAAATTCTAGCTCATATTTTAGATATATTTTTTAACAAAATTCTGGCTCATTTCTTAGATCTATTTTTAACAAAATTCTAGCTCATTTCTTAGAACTATTTTTTTTTTTAATTCTAGCTCATTTCTTAGAACTATTTTTTAAAGAAATTCTAGCTCATTTCTTAGAACTACTTTTAATTTCTATCCATATATTGCAAATTGTTCACATTCTTCTGACATCATTACCAAAATTCTTGCTCATTTATTAATTTACCTATTTTCAACAAAATTCTGGCTCATTTCTTAGATCTATTTTTAACAAAATTCTAGCTAATTTCTTAGATCTATTATTAAAAAAAATTCTAGCTCATTTCTTAGAACTATTTTTAAAAAAAATTCTAGCTCATTTCTTAGAACTATTTTTAATTTCTATCCATATATTGCAACTTGTTCACATTCTTCTGACACCGTTACCAAAATTCTAGCTCATTTATTAATTTACCTATGTCCATAAAACTTTACATGGCACTTCTGCAGGCCAGCGACCAAACAGAAATATCTTTTTTTTTTAAAATCTTGATTCAGTAATTAAAAAGTTTTTCTCTTTGGGCCCTGTATTAAAAACCGCTCTTTGGATGTATACACAAGACGAATAAAATAAATGACTTACAGTTACCTTGCCTACAAATTGCTCATTTTGAGACAGCAGCACCACCCTGCCCCCACATTTCAGTGTAAGCTTGTCGATTTCATCCCCCCAGCTGTCTAAATGTCTCCACGTGTTCCACATGAGTATAGAAAATTACTCACCATCTCTTGAATTGCGTGGTATCGAGGAAAATGTGTCAACTTTTTAATGTTTTGGTGTATGCTGTAAATCCCCTATTATTTTTTGACCCGCTTTAAGCTAACATCCTAGAAAATGTGTCGGAATCTTAGTTTGCAGTGACCTTTATGGATGGGCTTTTAGATTCTGTTGGTCATCCAACTTTTAGACCCGTATGCAAAGATCTGAGAAAATTAAACAGAGCGATTTAATTTTACCTTGTTTTAACTACAGTCAGACAAAAGTGAACAAGGTATAGCTAAAAATTCTCATGCACTTTGAGAACATCAAGGCAATTAAAAAACCAGAAAAAAAAAGTGTGATAAAATTCGGCTCTCTTACCTCTATTGTTTTGTTGAGCATACTGATGGTATTCTTCACGTACGTTGGTGAGTCATTCAGCGCAGGAAGTCGGAAGATCTCGAAGACTCGGGGGGCGAGGGAGGAATAAGTAGATATGGACACCTGGCTACGCATTGGCTTCATCTGCTGTCTGAGACCGCCATGAAAAAAGAGTGCCGTCAGAAAAGAAAAAAAGATTTACTTTAGTATGAGTTTTAGGGCAATTATATCACAAATAGGCAAGGAGATTAAAAGTAATGAAGGATGCTCTGTGGGTGGCACCGCACGCCTGATTGGAGCCCTCTCTCGCGGCAGAACTGTGGTCTACCTGCGCTGAGCGAATGCCCGATTTACGCACTGAAATCTAGATAAGAAAGAAGGTTTTATTCCGAGGTCCTTGAGATTAGGCAAGTCAGTTAGTAAAAATACCTTGAATCTGTGTTGTATTTAAGTGTAAGAACCGATATGATGCTGCAGTGGACCGAAGTTTTCACAGTTAAGTTGTTTTCCTTTTTAAAAATTTGAATGAAAGTGTTTTTATGCCCCCAGCAACACAATTTAGATCATTAACATTCATAAGAGGCTGGCTCCGGCGCTACCTGCCAAGGCCAATCCAGGCTGAAAGGGATAAAATACCCCAGCAGAAAGACCGAGATACTCAATTTTTTAAACAGTATTCTTATTCTTATATATACATGTAAATAATTATTATGTGTATATATATCATTATTATGTGTGTGTATGTATATACATATTATACATTTATATTGCTTTCCTTTGTGTGTGCAAATTAGATGCTACTGTTGTCTAAATGTAGATATCTAGAGGCTCCATTAGAAAAGGAAATCAATACTCAACAACAATAATGATGAATATTTTCTATGTTAAAGAAACACCAAACCATATCAGATGAGGGGAGAGGGTAGGGTGGGGTGGATAAGAGTTTGAGTCTTGTCAGATAGAACTATACTCGGTTTAATTCTATTGTTGTAGTCTTCACCTAAATTCCCACAATCAATAATTCCGGTTCAGTTAAGATTCTGCTGTTAAAAAATAAACCAAACAAAGCAACAACAAATGTTAATACACAAGAGTCATCACTAAGATAAATTATCCCCCCCCCCCCCCCCCCCCCCGGGAGTGTAATAAGGGACTAAAAATGCTGCTCTCCATATCATACTTTACTGAACAAACAAAAAAAACCTTCAACGGTCATCCCCTTGTAATCAATAACATTATTATTTATAGACCAAGACATACTGTTAGCAATCAGATAAAGCTGGCATCGACCCTCTGTTGTGTTCGCTATTCCTTACACATAAAGTTAGTCATGGCACACGCCTAGAATCATGCAATCATAATATCTTAAATTCAGTTTTAAAGTATATATTTATCCATTTCTTATACTTAAATATTTTAGCATCTTGAAAGATTATCTTTATAATTTGGTATGTTTTATAATTTTATGTTACTTGGACAAGTTTACTTCTTATTTTACACATCTTTTTGATTTTTAAACTAGATTATAACATAAAACTCTGAAAGAATTGAACAGTCCGTATCACACACAGAATTTTTTTTTCTCCCTGTCATTATCCGTCAGCCCGTCAGTTGATCACAATCTCTCTCTCTCTCTCTCTCTCTCTCTCTCTCTCTCTCTCTCTCACTCTCTCTCTTCTCTCTGTCTGTCTGTCTGTCTGTCAGTCTGTCTGTTTGTCCGTCTCACTCTCTCTTTTTCTTTCTCTCTCTCTCTTTTATTTAATTTTTCCCATTCTCCTTCGTCCCTTCCCAAGGCCCGCCCCTCCTCTTTCATCCCTGCCCCATCCCCTCTTCCTTGTGTGCATTCCCCCACCCCACCCACCCCCACAACGTGGCCCAGCCGGAAAAGATTCTATAAAAAGAAACGCCACAGTTCGAGATTTAGGCCACACTCGGCGGCCATATTTGATCCCCACCGCAGCGTACTGCTCGTGGCGCCGCGAAGAGAGAGAGGAGGCTCCATTAGTTCTAAACTCCTTGCAAATAGGTCATATTAGCTGCATCAATTAGAAATATCGCTAGAGAGTAACACACAGAGAAAAGAAGGAGGAAGGATAAGGATGAGAAATGTTTGATAGTGTAGCGACACCAGTGTGCAAAATAGTCTAGATTAGAATAACGTTGTTTTATTATTAACGCACACATTTGTATAAAAGGCTTGTGAATAAATGTTATTTTATCCTAGACTATTTTGCACGCTGAAGTCATACAAGTAAGTTGCTACAGTAGGGAAGAACCTGAGCAGACCACACAAGAGCACCCACCGACCATCCACTAAATATGGATTTATGGGCGCTGCGAGTATGAAATTATACTGCACTAAATAAACAGCTTGATATCAAGTAGAATCTAGTCACACAAAGATAGGAAAATGGGTAATAAATCAATGGCACCCACTTCTGAATTTTGTTACGTAAAAGGGATGAATAAGGAAACAATTTTCTCTTTGCTTCTTGTCAAATGCAAACAAAAAAGTATATATATATATATATATATATATATAACTCATCATCATTTTCCCACATTCATATCATCATCTTCTTCTTCTTCTTTGCGTTCCCCTGATAAATCTCAGGGATAGTCAACAGATGGTTCTTCAACTGATGATTTTTACGTAGGTGGCCGTTTTTCTGACTTCACAGGGCCCCTTGCTTTCAGGAAGAGACACATTCCGAATTGGAAGGTAATTCACATCACCTGATCTGACATGTTCCCAGTGACATCGGTACAGGACGGTGCTCTCTACAGTGAGCCAAAACTACGCCCGAGTACAAAGCCTGGGGTAGTGCTTGTCAACCTCTTTAACCCTATCCGTACGTCGTGTTTTACCATCGTATCCATACGACGTGGGGAACTCTGTGCCACCACTTTCCAAAGAGGAAATTTACTCGTTAATTCGCTCCGTTCGCTTTGCATAGCAGTCTGTCAAAATGATTTTTTGAGAAATATTGAAAGTTTCAAAGAGATCTTCGTACTAGAAGTATTCTAAAATGTGAAGAATACAACCCCGAGGGTACAAAATGACCCCAGGGCGTACGGATAGGGCTAAGAGTATAGCCACCACTCACTTTTGTCACCTCCAAGAAGATAAAATGTTCGTACTGCCCACCTACATATTATTTTCAAGTAGGATATTAACTCATAACGGACGCACATATTACTATTATTACACACTTGTATAGGTGCTGTTTTGAGATAGTTAAAAAAACAAAAACCCACAACTTCGTTCATACAGATCCAATTTCTCAGTTGTTTCTTTTATCTAAATTTTTTAAAAGCAGGCACCAACAAGCTTACTACGAAGTATTCAAATGTAAGTTTCTAATTTGTGCATGTTGGGTCCAAATAGGCCGCAGCGTTTCCTTTGGTCTTCTGTTGATCGGACATAAATGTCAGTCGCGTCCTTAAAGAGTTAGACTGCAGTTGCGAGCGCCGTAAAACTCTTACTAAAACAAAAGAGTTAAATAACAACCTTCACTACTCAAATAATTTCTATCGCCCACCAAAAATTTCCAAATTACCTGCAAGTGGGAGAAAGTGCCCACACTGGCAGGCACTAGTCTAGGGTGTTAAAGAAATAATAACAAATAGAATTTGTATAGTGCATGCCCCCCCTCACCTACAAGCTGTAAGCGCTTCACACCTTATAACACTCAGAAACATTCTCAGCTTCCCGAGAAGCATACAGTGCAAGCAGCCAATGAAGCGCTCAAACACTAACAAATTAACATTCCCTCCCTTTATTTCCTCTTCTCTTTGTGCCTATTCCTATCCTGACCTGAGACCATTGAACATCTTCTCCTCCACTGCCCAAACCAGGCAGTTCTTCGACGCAGGCTCCTACACACACCCACAGACTTACAAAGCCTGCTCTACTCTGGCGTTGACCAGATGACAAGGACATGTGGTTACTTAAAGGATGCATTGCACTGCCAAGAACGAAATGCTCGCAGCTAAAGGGATTTGAAAACAATAAACAACAACATCCTGACCTGAGAGACAATCCTGCGGAAGAGTCGAGAGCGATGCTGAGCCGCTTGGCATAGGGTCGAGTCTTGGCCTCATAGTCCGACCAGTAGTCCACTTTTTCATTCATGCGGTCCTCGAGGAACTGTTTGAACATGTCAGTGTTGAGGACCTGAGGAAAGAGATCCATCTACAGTAGTAATGATCATTATTGAAGGAGGAGGAGGAGGAGGAGGAGGAGGAGAAGGAGAAGGAGGAGGAGGAGGAGGAGGAGGAGAAGAAGAAGAAGAAGAAGAAGAAGAAGAAGAAGAGAAAAGAGAGAAGAGAGAGAGAAGAAGAAGAAGAAGAAGAAGAAGAAGAAAAGTCTACAATAACATAATTACAGATATGCCATCGGACTTCCCATTGGGGATATTAGAAATGGCAGCCTCTCTGATTCATACTTTAAGATTCGGTTCTTTCTCCTCACACAGAACCAAGCACCTGTTTCTAACTATTGACGCTGAGAAGGATAACATTACTATATACTTTCTCATAGATGGGCTGACATGTGCATGAACCAAATTTACTTTTTCATAGAACATTGGCATAGCCATGAATCAAACTTACTTTCTTATAAAACGCTAGCATTACCATGAACTAAATTTATTTTCTGACAAGTTTAGTTTTAGAAAGTGTTTTACGGGACTTGCAACACAATAAGGTTATATAAGTGCCGAAGATTAGAGGTGTTACGAGAGAGTAACAAACACAAGAAGGAGGGGAGATACAGATGATAGATATTTGATAGGAAAGAAGAAGCAAAACACACCAGAGCACCCGTCAACCACCCACTTCTGACAGAACGTTGGTACAGCTGTAAACCAAACTTATTTTCTCACACAATGATAATACGCCTGCAAAACAAACTTACACCATCCTAAAATGTTTGCACAGCTGCAAATTCAAATTAGCAATCTCATAGCTTGTTTTCATAGCTGTGAACCAAAGTAAATTTCTCACAAAACATTGGCATTGCAGCAAATCAAACTTACTTTAGCATAAAATATTTGCATAGCAACAATTCCAACTATCTTCTCGTAAAATGTAGGTACGAATGTGAATCAAACTTACTTTCTCGTAAAACGTTGGCATGACACTGAACCAAACTCATTTTCTCGTAAAAAGTTGGCACGACAGTGAACCAAACTTACTTTCTCGTAAAACGTTGGCATAGCAACAAATCCAACTTATCTTCTCCTAAAATGTTGGTATGAATGTGAACCAAACTTACTTTCTCGTGAAACGTTGGCATGACAGTGAACCAAACTTACTTTAGCATAAAAAGTTAGCATTGCAACAAATTCAACTTACTTTCTCGTAAAATGTTGGCATGACAGTGAAACAAACTTACTTTCTCGTGAAAAAAAACGTTGGCATGACAGTGAACCAAATTTACTTTCTCGTAAAACATGGCATGAAAGTGAACCAAACTTACTTTCTCGTAAAACGTGGCATGACAGTGAACCAAACTTACTTTCTCGTGAACAAAACGTTGGAACGACAGTGAACCAAACTTACTTTCTCGTAAAACGTTGGCATGACAGTGAACCAAACTTACTTTTTCGTAAAAAGTTGGCATGAGAGTGAACCAAACTCACTTTCTCGTAAAAAGTTGGCACGACAGTGAACCAAACTTACTTTCTCGTGAACAAAACGTTGGCATGACAGTGAACTATATTTACTTTCTCGTGAACAAAACGGCATGACAGTGAACCAAATTTACTTTCTCGTAAAACGTTGGCATGACAGTGAACCAAACTCACTTTCTCGTAAAAAGTTGGCATGAGAGTGAACCAAACTTACTTTTTCGTAAAACATAGCAATGACAGTGAACCAAACTTACTTTCTCGTAAAACGGCCGGTCAGAGAGACGGAGGTTGTCCAGAAACTGCTGCTTGTTGAACCGTCGGAGCTCCGGCCTCAAGTACGCCAGGACATCCCTGGTCACGGCAAAAGTCAGTGGTAGACAGGGGTTCTTATTAGTGTTAGTAGGGAGTCTTACGCACTTGCAACACAATAAGGTCATAGAAGTGCCGAAGATTAGATGGGTGTTACAAGAGAGTAACAAACACAAAAAAGAAGGAGGGGAGATAAGAATGATAGATGTTTGAAAGGAAAGAAGGAGCAAACCAAACCAGAGCACCCGCCAACCACCATCTTTACATCAAACGTTTAAGTTTGCAAAGAAGGAAGAGACAGAGACACAGAGAGAGAAAGAGAAAGGAAGAGAAAGGGGGGAGAGGTAGCATAGAAGACTGAGAGAGAGAGTGTGTGTGTGTGTGGGTGAGTGTAAGAGAGAGTGAGAGATAGAGAATGAGTGAGAGAGACAGACACGACAGACAGAGAGAGAGAGAAGGGGTTTACCCCCGCCCCCCTCGGAGATAAAGAGTTAAAGCTTGTTCATTTGCCATGCTTTCGGAGAAAAAACATACCCATCTATCTTGAACAGATATAGAGATATTTGTGACTGAAGGCAGTGGGGGAGGTAAAAGTAATGAGAAAATGGCCGCTAAAGTTTGGTGACTTCCAAAGCTTGAGAGTCCTTGAAAACTACATATTTACATTTCTTGTGCCTTTGACAAACGTTTTTCAGTAAAATCCACACAGAAATGCGCTTTTAAAAGGGCACTAAAGGTGTTTATAGCCCCCCCCCCCCCCCCAAAAAAAGTATGTTTTTTTTCAATTTCATTACTTTGACGAACACCTGGTTTTGACCAATGTATAATTTGATGAACATCACAAGTAATATACAAACCTTTTTTTTTTTTGTCCAGCATCCCGATTTTGATGCAGACATTTATAAGTTACGTCAAAATGTGCCAACATAGTACAAGTTGTTATGCTTCAAGAAACACAAAACATGAAAAAGGGGATGTTACGATGATGTTGATGATTATGAGATGATGATGATGATGATGATGATGACAATGATTATGATGATGATGATAAAGATGATGATGATGATGATAAAGATGATGATGATGATGATGATGATGATGATGATGATGATGATTATAAAGATGATGATGATGATGATGATGATGATGATGATGATTAAGCAATATATACAAACCTGAATAGGTTCACCATCATCTCCAGACAGGCAAAACTGATCTCTGTGTTGAACTGCAGACATTTCTTCATGCGGAATGCCCGTTCCTCTTCTATGTCATAGTAGAACGGTCTGGTAGAGTAGACGAACAGACACACACAGGAGTCAAGCAAAATTCACTAGAGAGAAAGGGTACTCATTCTTCACGGTTAAATACCTTAGGAGGAGGAGGAGGAGGAAAAAGAAGAAAAAGATGAAGAAGAAGAAGAAAAAGAAGAAGAAGAAAAACAAGAGCAAGAACAAGAACAGGAAGAAGAAAAGAAAAGAAGTCCAAGAAGAAGTAAAAAAAAAAAGAAAAAAAAAGAAAAAAGAAGTCGAAGAACAAGAACAAGAACAAGAAGAACAACAACAAGAAGAAAAAGAAGAAATGATGATCATGATGATGATGTGATGGTAAACATGATCATGATGATGATGACTATTATAATGATGACAATGATGACGACGAAGATGATGATGATGACGATAAAGATGATGATGATGACAATGATGACGACAATGATGATGATGATATGATGATAAAGATGATGATGATTATAAAGATGACAATGATGACTATTCTCACCTCTGCACATCAGACAGCTCCATCTGGAACTTGGCTCTCTTGCAGATCTTCTTGAACAGTTTGGCCGGCTCCTCAGGGATGTTGGGTATCTGGGACGACGGGCTCTCCAGGATGTGGAAGTCAGACTGGGTCAACGAGTGGTGGAAGGCGCGGGTGAGGGGGAGGCTGGAGGCGTTGATGGTCACTGTGCCTTCGTCTATGTTCACTACCATCAGGCCCTCCACCTGGGGGAGAGAGAGGAGGGAGGGAGGGAGGAGGAAGGAGGAGGG